GATCCCCACAAATTCTAATGCCCTCTCCTTAACTACTTTGTATTTTATCACATTGTATTTATTTTATATTTGTATTTAACAACATTGTATTAATTTTGTATTTATTCTGCATATACTTGTATATGTATATGTTGCCTCTCCTGATATGTAAGCTCTTTGAGGTCAGGGAATGTTTCATTTTTACATCCATGTACCTAGAACAGTACCTGGCACATAGAATATGCTTAATAAACAAATTCTTATTGATTGAAAATCTATAATGGTTCACATATACATATTAATATTTACAAACTACTTCTTTTACAACAGCCCTGTGACATAGAAATTACAAGTTTTATTATTCCCATTTTGCAAATGAAGAAAGTGAGGCTCAGAGAGTTCAGTTAGTCTGGCCACACCACATGGCTAAGTGAATGTCAGAACCAGGATTCAAATCTACATCGATCCTCATTTCAGGTCCAGCATTTTTTCCACTCTCACAGGTAGCCTCTTTAATACCATGCTGCTTAAGGTGTTTGCTAATAAGGACCTTAATATTCAGGGGATAATTGCATTTTAATAAAGGACCAAGGGAAACTGAAAAGCCTTCAAGATTCACAGGAATAAAGCTATAACGTTGGAACGATAAATGATAGAGTTGGTATATAAGGGCAAGGGATTCTTTCCAGCGTCTCTCAGATCATACCATGTTCATCTTCACTTACTCATAAGGCTAATTATACCTCTTTAGTGAAAGTGACCTCTTTGGATTATAGTTCTTTCTTTCTCAGACACTGTTGAGCTAATTTAAAAACTGGGCAGTAGTTTGAACCACATGCAGGCACTGTGGAGATGACTTAAAACTGAACTGAGCAAGGTTTCAAATATTCTGAGTCTTCAGGCTGGGATCTTGAGAGTTCATTTAGTCTGTCCTCCAACATTTCCTTCTTAGGTGCACTGTGCCTAAATCATTTTATTAAGACAGAGTATTCCATCCATCATGTGCCTTTTAACCCTCTCCCCATCAGGATATGCTCATGTAGTCTTCACTCTTCCTGTTTCAACCTAAATCTATTTCCAAAGGGAGTTAGATAGTGACTCTTTGGGGGAGCCATTTCTCCCCTCTGATGTTTGGTCTGTTATCTTCTTAGCCTTTTCTTTTCCAGATGAAATAATAATCCTAAATTTCTTACCTCTAAGTCAGGCTCTCTGCTTAGAAGGATTTTGCTCCTGGGTCCAAGTTCAGAACCCACAGCCCTTTCTCATGTCCTTTTGATCTCCCTTTAGCTAAGTGGCTAAGCTCCTATCAGGGCTTGGCTCTACCTCTGGGAGAAGAGGTGACCACTTGGCCCTAGACAGTTGACCGAAGGTCCTAGCAGTGTCTCCTCCTTCACTCCTCCACACAACTTGTTGATTGATTTCATTTTACTCTTTGAGAGAGGGCATTCCTTGTTGCCAACCGTCTATCTGTGGCAAGGTTTGTTCAAACACAGATTTCTGAAGAGATAATGCTGACCCTTCTCTCAGGGATGGCCTTTGACTTGCCTTGATGGATTGTATAGAAACATTTAAGCTTAGATGCAGAGGGGCAAAGGAAGGAGAATTATCCTTTGTGTATATGTGGTGTTAGGTTATAGTAGGCCTTCCTTATTGTTATACCATGGAAATCAGGGCCTTAGCACCTCTCAAAGTGCTAGCAGACCTTGTAGGGAGGTAAAATGCAGTAAAATCCACTGTCTTAGAAATTTCAGCTCTTGGGCTTGGTACTGACACCCATAGGTTCTACACTGAAGACTGCCTGAATATCCCAGGCCTAGCCCTAACAGCCAAGGTCAGCACTATTAGTCAATCAGTAAATATTTATTAAGTGCCTGCTATGTGCCAGGCATTGTACAAAGTGCTGGGGGTACAAAAAGAGGAAAAAATTAGTTTCTGCCCTCAAGGAGTTTACAGTCTAGCTGGTTTGTCTTTGGCTCCTTATCTTCTTATTCAAACCCTTTCTCCCAGTATTTCTTCCTGTCCTTGCCAGCTATTTTTCATACAAGAGAGAAGAGCTGATGAAGAGATGGGAAATATGGGGCTCCTCTTCTTAATTCAGATCTTCTGCCCCCTCCCCTATGTTCACCCCATTCCCCTGTTATGGTCCCACCCAGGACTAGGAAGTATCCCATGCTTTTAAATCCTTTTCCCCAATCTCCATCTCATGAAACCTTCTCCAGCCCACATCTTATTCCTGTAGAATCCTGCTGATGGCACAAGCTATCCTGCAGTGTGCTGTAGTAGAAAGACTTGGAGTCAGAAGGATTGGGTTTGAATTATGGCTCTGCCACTTTTAAATTAAGTGATATTGGGTGAATCACACCTTCTGAGCTTCATGGGAACATAGATTTAAAGCTTGAAAGGACCTTAGATATCATCTTGTTCAACCTCCTCATTATTCAGGTGAGGAGATTATAGCTCAGTGGGGTGAAGGCATTATCCAAGGTTATGTAAATAGTCAGTGGCACAGCCAGGATTTAAATTTGGAGTGAGAGGACTCCAAATCTAGTTCCCTTTCCACTACACCCTATTGTTTTCAGTTTCTTAATGGATAAAATAGGGATAATACTTATAATATTACTTTACAGGCTTGTTCTGTCAAGTGAGAATTTATATTTTAACACAGGTAGTTGGGAATGTAATTCCTTAACTCAAAGGAATGAATTGATAAAAATCTCAGGCAGGCTTGTGGTGGAGATATTTTTGGAATTAGTGTGGCCTTCTTGGCTCCTTCCTAAATCATATCAGGTAGTCAACTGTCTACTTTGTATATGTTTGAGGTCAGCCCTGTTGTGATGTGAGATATCTTTTCCAAGGCCTACTTCTCCTTTCAAAGGTGAAACTTGCTCAGTAGTTCCCATCAGCCACCTTTCTACCTTAGACTACCATAAGTCATCTAACTGGCTTCCTACTGTTAGAGGGCTTGAGAAATGGTGGCTCATGAATTCTAGAGATTGGGACTATAGCTTTTACATCAAAAGCAGCTATTTGGAAAGCAGTGATTTGGACTGTGAGGAGAGAAGGCTGATGGCAACTGAGAGATGGCGACTAAACCAACTGTTTAGTGGGGGTTGTGTCCCATGGAACACACAAAGGGGTGGACCTGTGGAGTTCTATCCCATGGAGTGTGTGCTGAATGTCCCTAGAAGTTGCCATCGTAATTGAATGTGTGTTCTCCATGGGGGTGAACCCTCCTGCCACTCTCCTCCCATCTGCATTTAGTCTGTAGGGTTATCACATGGGAAATAGAGACCTGAGCTTCTACGTTTTCATGAAGGATGAGGTAAGAGGAAATAGGATTTAGCTCTGAGCTGGGTATACTTGGAAAATTCTGGCTAGTGTGATCTAGGAGATTAGATTAAGTTTTGCAGAGGCAAGTGATAAAATCCTCCTTTCCTGGGAACCTGGATGAAAAGATCAATTTTGATTGGTTTAAATAGAGAGAAGCAGGAGGATGGATAAAGTGACCTTTATGCTTCCTTCCAGATGGAGTTCCTCTGACCCCGTGAAAAGATCATAGGTTGGTAGGATTATGGATCTAGAGTTGAAAGGGACCCCATAGAGGTCAGCTTGTCCAACTCTCTCATTTTACGAGTTAGGGAACTGAAGCCCAGAAAGTTTAAGTGATTTGCCCAAAGTCACACTGGTAGTACGTGGCAGATCTGGGATTTGAATTTAAGTCCTCTGACTGCAAGTTCAAAACTTTTGATTGTACCACAGTGAGATGTTCCAAAGAAGGGTTGGGTTAGGGGCTCTTAACCTGGAGTCAGTGAACTAAAAAAAAACCTTTTTTTTTAAATAATCATATTCCACTAAAATTGCTTTCCTTTGTAATTCTATGGTATTTTATTTTTAAAAACTTTCTGAGAAAGGGTTATAGACTTCACTAGACTGCCAAAGGGGTCTCTGACATAAAAATAACTGCTGGAGTAGAGGGAGGACCTACTTCAGGAACATCTTTTGGAAAGAGTGAGTGCCTTGAGACTTGAAAACACTGAGATTGTTGCAACTAAATCAAAGAGGTATCATCTTTCTTTCAGCCTTTCTCTGTGGGGCATGTAACTCCTCTGGTGTGGGGCTCAGGTCTTTAAGGAAATTCACTTTCTCCAAAAAATGGTGACACTAGGCTCTGAAGGAGTGACTTTACCTTCCCTTCTGCATTCTCATTGGTGAGTTTATATTCATTAGAACTTATGGTATTTGAGGGCAGGGAATATTTAATTTCTTCATGTCTCAAATACCAAGCATAGTGCTTTGTACATAGTAGATGCTTCTTAAATGTTTATTGTTTATAGGAATGCAGAAGGTTTGAGCCTTAGGTTTCTTCTGTGTACCACTGAGGGTATGGCCGACCTTGAAGTTGTTCAAATCTTTGTCAAAAATCAGACAACTTTTTTTTTTTTTGCTGAGGTTCACAATACACCTATCATAGTAGTAGATGCCAGGAGCCTGAGAGGATATGTGTGTAGAGAACAGTGGTCCAACCTCAATTGAGCTGGGGCTCAATGGTACAACGTTTTTATAGACCACCCAACAGATGGTATATCTGAAGGGAGAAAGGAAGAGAGATGGTGCCAGAGGGCAGTGGTCTGGTATGAATACCCTGTATTTAGTGGTTTTACTTAAAGGTGAAACTTTGAATCTCATGTCTGTCACCCTTCTACTTCTATCCAACATGATGTGTCTTTCTGGCCTTCCACTTTTGGAAGCTTTAGGAGATGATGGCCTAAATTTTAGAACACAGGGAGCATAGCTCTTAACTGGGCTCTTAATGGCACTCAGCATGACATTCTGTGTGGGTGCTTTCTAAAAGTTATTTCAAGATGAGGTAAAGTTGTAAAGCCACCATCTGTCTGTCTAGCTTTATTTCAGCAAGCATATGGGAGAGAAGCTTTCTTTTCTTCCCCCTCACCCTTTAGCTGGTGATCATCTCCATCCAGGTCAATAATACCAACTCAACCCAGAGATATAACATCACAGTCTTCATTTTTCCAAAAACACCTTTAATAAAGTCTATCAACCTGGCTAGGTAGCAGAATACAGTGCAGCTCAGATATGTGGTAAAGTTAGTCTTATTCAATTATATAATCTCTTCTACAACAATAAAAAGAATTAAATGGATTTTTAAATGAGCTCTATTAAAAAACATAAAATCTTCTTATAATCCTCACTTATGGGGGGGGTGGAGAAGGAAAGGAGGAGGAGTCAGAGGACAATTTTTCCAAGGAGTTAAAGGGTTTTGGAGATTCTAAGGGACTTTTAGGAACCTACAATGTTCTTTCCTCTACTCTTCCGGAAGTTTCTCAAGAGGGCTGAGGATGCAGATATAGCATTTCTTCACGGTCAGAAAGGTCTCTGGTCATGCCTTTACCATCTCCATTAAATGACAGATGTTAAAAATAGCAATGAAGGAACTGAAAGGGTTGGGTTGGCATGTGGAGAGATTTTTCCACTTTGGCATCCCAAATACGTGGTAGTATCCAGTCTATGGTATCTCCTGTTGGCCTAGAGATTCTACGTGTATACTCATTCATCAGGGTCTTGGCAGATATTTCCATTTCATGCTAAAGGAGAGGGGCAGATGAAGAAAAAAGGAGCTGGAAGTTTGGAGTCCACTTTCTTGTCAGACCTAGAATGAAGAAAGAGAGTAGAGAAATTAGTCACTGGAATATTAAGGTCTTTGGCAAGTAGAACACTTACAATTCTTTGGTGGTGTGATAGAAATGGTTTAGACTGGAGTTCCCTTAGGGGCAGACACAGTGTTACTCACAGCATACCTGTACTTAGGCACAGCACAAACAACTAATACTGGTTAATAAGATATAAAAATTTGATTAAGCTGAAGGAATAGGGATTGCAACTTTAGGCAAGATGCTTAGCCTCAATTTCTTCATCTGTAGTATGAGGATTACTTGTTCTCTGCTCACCTTCTTGGGACTTTGTAAGGCTCAAATAAAATAATGGATATGAGAGTGAATTGAAAAAGTATAAAGTACCATGGCAATTTTGAGTGCTGATCTTACTAATAATACATGTACCTTGTAATATGAGGTGGGAAAGTCTAATGGGTTAAACCATTTTAAGTGGGACCAGACTTGTTCTTAGAACTTGGTAAGACTCCCTAGACTAACTCTTCCCTCCAATCTCTGGTCCCCTCTACCCCAAAAGATACATTACTTACTTTAGTTTGACCACAGGCGAAGTGTCATGAGCAGGTTAAATCCCACAGTCTTCAAAAAGATGACACGGAGAAAAATCAGAGACGCGTTCATCAAGTTCAAATCTTTGTCTAGAAAACCAAGTTGGCATAAGGTTACTGGAGTCCATTTTGGGGATTCTGTACCCACTTCCTGATGAGGCATCACTCTTCTCTAAGGAAGGCCTGAGTCCACTAGGCAGTCAACCTGGTGAGGACTGGCCAGGATATCCCTTGGTTTTTCTCTCCTTCTAATTGGGGACCCTACCTTGTGAATAGTCACCCATCTACTGAACGAAATTATAGGATGTTAGAGCTTGAAGGGACTTTATAGATCATCTAGTTTTAGCCCAACACATTTTACAAGTGAGGAAACTGAGGTCAAGTGATATTCATGAGGTCATACAACTAGTTAAGTGGAAGAAGTGAAAGAAACCCTTAATTCTCCAATACAGGGTTTTTTTTAAAATGTTTTTAATATCATGAAGTGCCTGCCTTCCATTAACCTTCAGACCCGAACCATTCATAGACTCAGGAAAACCCCTTTGGTTATTTGACTAATGGTGGTTAGGCTGAAAGATAGGCTGATTCAAAGAGGCAACATAACCTGAAGCAAATGTATGGTTCAGGTAGGCAATGAATGATTCAGGGACCTCTCAGTGGAAATGAGTACAACTTCAAAAAAAAAAAAACAAACCGCACCAAAAACAACCCACTGCCCACCCCCTCTCTATGCCCCCAACAAACAAACAAAAACACAACCAAGGAGATAATGGTCCATAGTTACTGAGGGGAAGTAACCTCAGTGTTGACTCAGCTGTCCAGTGGTCTGTTATAGTTTAGCCCATTCCAATCATATCATTCAATGGTTTCTCATCTTTGTTAATAAGTAATTCCCTTTGGCTACACATACAACAAAGCTGAGAGACTTTAGGAGCTGTTATGTGAATAACTGGTCTAATAGGAACACTGCTTCAGAGGGTATGGGCACCAAGAAGGTAGAATAAAGACTGTGGGAGGAGAGTGACCTTTGAAAAATTACTTCATCTCTCTAGTTCTCAGTTTCCTTATCTGTAAAAGGAAGGGGTTGGGCTAGATCAGAGGTTCTTTTTATTTTGTGTCATGAACTCCTTTGGCAGTATAGTGAAGCCTATAGATCCCTTCTCAGAATGTTTTTTAGAATCACAATTGAAGGAAATGATAAATTTCAGTTGGAAGTTGGTAAAATCAAAATGTGTTTTTTTTTCCCCCATGCAAGTTTATCAACCTGAAATCTATTCATGGACCCTTTGCATTGACCTCAGGGTAAGAATTCTTGGATTAGATGACTTTTAAGATCTCTTCTAGCTCTAAGTCCTAATGTGATTGGAAAGAAAACAAAAGACCACTCAGACAGGGTATGAAGTGTTGCTCTTATTCCCTCAACCTTATCTGAGATAGGTCTCCTGGCTCTAGCCCACTCCTGTCCTTTTTTGGGTTAATGTGCATTTTTTTTCCTTCATCTCCTCCCCAGTTCTGTCTTAAGAAAGTTCATAATTTCTGGTACATGCCTGTTTCAAAACTTTGCTCTACATCCTGGACTTTGCATGTGGAACCTGCAAATAGAAACAAACAGAATTACCTTCATGGATCTTCAAGTTGGGTGGTACCTCTGCCCATCCCAAATCATCTATAGGCTAGGAAGATATACCTAGTTCATGTGTCATGGAAAATAGACATAGCACCTTTAGCTCCTGGGAGAAAGACTCACACATGGTGGTCAAGAGCCAGTATTCTCTATTACTTCTCTCATGGTTGGCTCATTTTAGATCAAGACCACCTCTTACTACTGTGCTTCGCACTGCGTCCTCCCCCTACCCCACCCTTCCCCTGGGGCCATAGCTCAAAAGGGATTGCCATTGGGCTAGTAGGAATGGAAAATTTACTCATCTCCTGACCTCTCAGAAATAAAGGTACAAGGTAAATGCCCTCTTTACTTGGATATAAGCTAGAGATGTCCCGTAGTAGAGACTATGGAATGAAAATAGATTTTAGAAGCTTTTTGTCTAGAATAGAACCATAGCACAACCCCTACAGTACAGGGAGACTCATCTTCCTAGGAAAGGCTTTATGCTGACCTGATGGTTGAGTCAAATTGATGATGTTTTGCGGGAATGCGTTTGTGCAATTGAAGCTTGATTTACTACCCCAAGCCACTGCTCCATAGCTCTTAGATTCCATCGTCATCATCTCCAGCACAGTTGAGTCGTTACCATTTGTATACGTATTAGAAGAATCAAAGTCTGTCAGGAGGCAGACTGAAGTGTCACTTGACTTGGGACTTGTTAGTTGGTACAGAGCTGGCTGAGGGTCCTTGATATCTGTGAATAGAAGAGACATGGAGTTTAAGAGATGCTGCTTTCCCCCCCTCTTTTTGCACCTTCTTACCTCGTGTTGACTCTCCACACCGGGATGGAATTGGAATACCAGTGTCTAAAAAAGGTTAATCCACCCTGCTCAGAAGATAGTATTTTCAGATTTCGTAAACTAGAGATAATAATTATTATAAATAATAGAGATCCTGTGGTTAGACATTACATACTACCTCTCAAGGTCAAAGAAAGAAAGGTCCTATATATACCAAAATATAGCAGCCCTTTTTATAGTAACAAATAACTTCAAACAAAACAGATGTCCATCAATTGGAAGAATGACTAAACAAATTGTGGTATGTAATGGAATATTCCTTCAATATGAATCAGTCAGTGAGCATGTATTAAGTGTCTGCTATGTGCCACTCAACAAGCTAGGTTCTGAGGAAGAAACAATTCATATGATGCACGTAGGGAAACATGGGAAGATGACATACAAACTGCTGTGCAAAATGAAATGAGCAAAACCAGGAAAATGGTATAACACCATGAATACAACAATGTATATGGAAAGAATAAAATATGTGGAGCTGGATGCTGTACAGTTATAATGATAAAGCTTGGCCCTCAAGAAGAGAAGACAAAGTGTGCTTTTTCCCTTTCTTTGCAGAAATGGGGGCTGGGGTGTGTGGAACATTACATATATTGTCAGATGTGTTGATTCCTTTTACTGAACTTCTTCCTCTCCTTCCCCCTTTTTTCTTTTTTGTTCTTTGTTGCAAGAGATGACTCTTATGAAGGGTAGTGGTAGAGAATATTTGGAAATGAAGGAATGACATTTGGAATGACATAAAAACAAAGATAGTAATAAAAATGAAAAAATACTATGTTGAGATGGAGCCAGAATCATAGTCCCTAACCAAGAGACTGAGTAGCCTGTAGTCTGGTAAAGATAATGATTATTATCTAGATTATGATGTTTATCTAGATTATCTATAGCTAGATTATTACCTATATAGGTTATCAACCACTATATATTATTAAAGAAAGATACTGCAAATGGACAATGAGTTGGGATTGAAATTGAAAAGGGGAGGAGAGAATGTAGGGTTATTTTTGGGAAGTTGTGACATCCTTTAATGACCCTGAAACAGTCCCATTTTTCAATACCAGTATTTTACAGGTGTTAACTGTATGACTATCAATCCTATAGCTCTCAAAGAACTAAATATGTGTATCACTCAGGCACATGGTGGGTGTGAGAACAAATGGTGGATGTGAAGAGCCAATACATTGTAAACAAGGAATTACAGAGAAGATCTGGAGTAAAGGATGATGTGAAAGAAATGTTCTAGTGAAAAATATGGACTGGCCATGTGCTGGGAGTGATGGATGACTGATGGATGTCTTGTTTTCTCCATAGGTATCCTTGTGATGTCAAAAATGGGGTAAACTTGTGGATTACATATCAACACCAATTTGGAAAACCTGTCCTGTCGCTAGGAGATTTCTATCCCAATAACTTATTATGGTATATACCTCATGACTCTACTATAACATTTAAAAACCTATTTTGTATATAAGTAATAAAAATAGTAACAGTTTCTCTTTACAATGTACTCCTATGGAATAAGTAGGAGCTGGACTCTCCATTTATTTCTGGGACTTCTTCAGCATTTCTTTAGATATTCAGGGTTTTAAGGGATTCTGTGTGTGCTTTGCAACTTCCTATGTTTAGAAGAGGAAGTGGAAGTTTGGAGGGAAAAATTAACAAATCCAGGCCACCCAGAGAGTAGAACAGAGTTAGGGTCTGATTCTCCTGTGCCCAAAGGCCTCCCACCAGGCCAGCAACATTGCCTGCTTTTTTTCTGCTCAGACATTATACTGCACACACTAAGCCATTGTGGTCTTGGCTACATAAACATCCTGCAGAACCGGGACCTGCGGAAACCAGCCCTAGGCGTAGATGAGGGAAGCTGAGTCAAATGAAAAACAAACTGGAGAGATGACCTTTATGCACAGGGCCGTCCCTACTTAGAGATAGAGTTGGTGGTGGAAAAGTCTACTCCTACAAATTAGCACCATTCAGATATTTGAAGAGTATGTATTCACATTCTGTTACCTGCCCTAAGGATTATTGTGAGGCAAATCTGTAAACCTTAAAGCATTTTATATATCCACGTGAGTTTTTTATTACCATTACCCATTAAGTCTGTACTTTTCCAAGTAAACACCCCTCCCCACTCCTAAAGTAACAGTGTTTGTAGAACTTGGAAAAGATAGGGTTTAGGGGAACTCTCCATCTGCACTAATAGAGTAAGAAGGAAATAGAAAAAATGTGGGAAAGATTTTTGAGTGTTCATTAGAGAGGACTGGTAAGCACATGAGTGGATTATGGGAGAGCCTATGTAACTGCTTTCTCTTGTGGTCTTTAAATGTAGGCTAGATTCTCCCCTATATAGCATGGTTATATGATGTTAGTGCTTGGAGAATGGGGGACAGTCCTAAACTGTGAGCAAAGGAGCATTTATACTTGCAACAAACATCTTCAAGTCCAGCAAATCAAGATAGAGGAAGAACTCATTACAGTATTTACTGGTCTGCTTCCTAATTTACTTTAGGCCCTTGGAATGGGGTCTCTTGGAAGGCTTCTTTCAGCAGCTCCCTAAGCAGCCACTTAGCAGACTCAGCAATTCAGAAACTTCTAGAGTTGTGTGGCAGCCAGCCCAGGCCCGAGTCACATGGTTTCAGCTTTACTTTTTGCATTCTGTGCTGGAGGCATGTGGATTAATGGGCCTGCCCTTTACCTGTCTGTGGCTCCCCACATCTGCCCACTGTTCATTTGGGCATGTGGTAAAATGAGGGCTCAGCTCCAGGCTGGGGGAATACTAGAGTGTGCAGAGTTGTTGCTGCTCTCACATGGTTAGTACAGTACGTTGGGTGCCACTCCCCAAACTAGTTCCAATTTTTCAGTTTATAAATTCCATTTTCACCCTCATTCTCCTTTAGCCCAATATCTTCCTTAAAAACAAACATTCTCTTTCCCCTCTCTACCTTATTTCAAAACTCCAAATCCAAAACTCCAAAGCTATATGCAAGACAGTATGTTAAATGATGGAGATACAAGGAAGAAGAATGTTTACACATAGTTGTTTGCATATTGTCTCTTCTGTCCCCCACCATTAGATCACAAGCTCCTCGAGGGCTGGGGCTATATTTGTCTTTCTTAGTATCTTCCCCTACCCCTCTAGTGCTTAGCATATACTTGATGCTTAGTAAATGTTTGCTGACTTGACCCTCAAATAGCATATGGCTTAAAATGGACAATACAGAATATGCTAAGATTAGATATAATATAAGAAAGGGAAGAAGAGATCCAGATTAAGAGCACCAAGAAAAGAGGAGGATGGAGGAAACACTTTCAGCTGGTTGAGTATAAAACCAAACAAATTTTTGTGCTACTTGATTTTGTACAAGAGCTAGATAAAATACTGTGAGTACTGAAGTTGTTGGATTTGGCAAGGCTACACATATTTCTCAGTAGGGGAGTTTCCCTAATCTAAGTCCCAATCTACTATTTTAATCCAACTGCAAATGACCAAAAAGCTATGTCATAGATCTTCTTGGGCACAAAGCAAGTGCCTGAGTGGTCTACAGCTCACATAGTGTTTATGCTACATATACATATGTGTATGCAGGCCTAGGAACCCAGAAATCTGAGTTAGCAACACTGGCCATAGGCCTAGATCAAACTTGTATTCTCAGCAGAGGTCTTATAACTCACACAAGATCACAGAATTTGGAGCTGGTTGGGGTTTAAGTGACCAAATGGTCAAGCTCTCTTATTTTATAGGATTGAGAAATTGATTTTAATTTTTTTTTTTAAATTGGGGTTAAGTGACTTGCCCAGGGTCACACAGCTAGTAAGTGTCAAGTGTTTGGTCTGAGAGTGGATTTGAACTCAGGTTCTCCTGACTTCAGGGCTGGTGCTCTATCCACTGCGCCATCTAGCTGCCCCAGGATTGAGAAATTGAAGCCAGGATTAGTGAAATAACTTGCTTAAAATCACACAGGCAATAAATAAGTGGCAAAGATGGGATTTGAACTTGTCTTCCAATTCCAAATCTAGAACTCTTTCCACTATATCATGACTCACTCATTACAACTGTACCAATGGTCAATAGATCCATATATAGAAAATGAAGAATGAAGATCAGCTTGTATTACAGTCATTCTAGTTCTCTTACCAAATATAAGTTGGCTGTTGGATCTTCCATCTACCACTTCCCATGTCTCCATTACAGAAACTCCCAGTTACCCACTTTATTAAATAATAGGCTAACTTTTTTCCAAGAAAAAGGAGACAGTATCTGTAAATGGGCCCTTGGAGATCTCTGCTTCAGGCTAGTACTGTATTTTTAGCTCTGGCCCTGACTGCTTCTCTTATTCCTGCCTGGAGAGTTTTGGCTTTAGACTCCTCTGTTCACTTTAAGACATTGGTGCTCCTATTGTCTCTACCCTTGGGATTTCTAAGGAAGTCAACTTTTCTGCCTAACTTTTCAAGGCTACTATTTTTCTCTATTATTTTCAATATTCCCTCTACGTGCTTCCCCTCCCCACCAAGAAAATCACTGCATTCCCACCTCTGCTTTCCATGCTCACACTGTTGAGCCTAGAATGCTGTTCTTTTCATCACCACTGCTTCCAAGAAAGCTTCACCCTTAGCCTCCCAACTCTTACTGTACTTACTTAAGATATTTTAACAATTTATAATCTTACTACTCTATGCGTATTAGTTTTGGCTCAGTTGTAAGTTCCTTGAGGGAGGGAATCATGTCTTATGATTTAAAAAAATCCCGCATAGTACCTAATGTAAGGTTGGGCAAATAGTAGGTACTAAATAAATACCACTCTATTAAGATCACTTTTGTACGCCTAAGGAAGAGTTATTTGTGGCAGATCTAAGCAGTCAGTGTTGCTACTAGGGCTGTTGGCCATTCCAAAGGTTA